GGGCCGAGCTGCTGCGCGCGGCCGAGGCGCGGGGCGTTCCGGTGCTGCGGCCCCGACGGCGGAAGCTGGACGCCCTGTGCCGCCACCAGGTCCACCAGGGCGTCTGCATGGAGGTGAGCCCGCTGCGGCCCCGGCCCTGGACAGAGGCTGGCGAGGCCAGGCCAGGAGATGACCCCNCCCAGCAGTTGTGGCTCGTCCTCGAGGGGCTCCAGGACCCCCGGAACCTTGGGGCCGTGCTGCGCTCGGCTCACTTCCTCGGCGTGGACAAGGTCATCACCAGCCGCAGAAACAGGCACGAACGTTCCTTACTTCCCATGTGCCCCAATTTCGAGGCGAGTTTTTAAGCACCTTGACCCTTTGGTAATCCCTCAGTCGGGCCTCCCTATCGCCAGAATTCTCCTCTCTAACCCATGGGGGCTGGGGGAAGGTAGGGCACCGGGCTTGACATTACGCAGCCTTACACGGGGCATGGGGTGACTTGCAGCTGCCCGCTCACTCCGGTTGTCAGCAAGGCCAGCGCGGGGGCGATGGAGGTGATGGATGTGTTCTGCACTGATGACCTGGACGGTTTTTTAAAGGTAAGGGCCCGTGTGTGTGTATGTGTGTGTGTGTGTGTGTGTAAAAGAGCAGAAATGAGCCAAGCTCAGCCTCTCAGGGCACTTAGCCAGCAACTGATGGAGGAAGGGGGAGAAGAGAGCATGTTGGCATCACTTCCTTTGTCTCCCTAAATCTCTGGGAAGAGGGAAGGATCCCAGAATTTTTAAAACCGTAACTGGAGCAGAATCTGAAGTTGGAAACTTTCTAGCATCAGTCCCTTTACTGCACTTCTCCAGGCATATCTCTTTACCCCTGCTGCAAGTCTACCACAGGCCTCATTACCTACTAAGTAGGTCTTCAGTAAACGTGTCCTGGGTTCCTCCAGTAGGGGCATGGCTTGAAAGGCTCTTTGAACAAGGACTAGCCTGTGCCTTTCCCCTTTTCCCTCTCACACACACAAAACAACCACCCAAAACCCCCCAAAAACAACTACCCTCACCACCAAAAAACCTAAATTTGGGGGGCAAGCCTAAGTAAAGAAACCCCTCTGCTGTGCTTCTCTTGCCGGACACAAGGGGGCAGTATTGCCCTGCATTTGGCCGCTCTCCTAACCATCCCCCAGGTCTCCCAAGTCTCAGTCCTTGGATCTCTTTTCTATACACACACACACACATATAAACACACACACATATATACTTATTTATTTTTGGTCTCATCCACTCTCATGGCTTTAAGTAGCATCTATATTTGAGTGCCTCCCAAAGGTATATCCTAGGATGAATCTCGCTCCTAAACCCCAGAATCACATATCTAGTTGCCGCCTCAACAGCTCTCTTTTAAAACAACTAGCAACACTGGTGTCAAAAAAGCAATGTAAATTATAGTTGATGGAATTTTACAAAGCTACTCAATGTCCTCAACCCAGAGTGATTCCAATATGAATAAATAAAAGCATCTCAAAGGGGTTATAAAACAAAGCAGCTCTCTTTTGCTGTCTAATGGGCATTTCAAACTGAACATTTCCATAGCTAAGCACCTGTTCCTTCTGCAGACCCAGCTCAGTCGATGGCAACTCCATGCTTTCAGTTGGTGATGCCAGAAACCTTGGCATCATCCTTGGTTCTTCCTGCTCTCACACCCATTCCCATCTGTCAGTGCTTCCTTTTGGTTTTACCCTAAAGTTATTTCCGTATTCTCACCATTTCTTCCTATCTCCACTGCTACCACTCTGGTCCAAGCCACCATCATCTCTTGCCTGTATTATTTTGAAACCTCCTAACTGGTCTTGTGTCTGCTATTGGCTGTGAACACAGCAGGCAGAGGGATCCTGCTGCAACAGAAGTCAGACCATATTATTGTTCTGCTCAGAACTTTTCAAAGCCTTTGCAGTTTCTCTCAGTATAAACCAGAGTCCTTCCAGTGGCTTTTGAGGTTCTACCTTATGTGGCCCTTTGTTCCCTCTCCTGTCTCTGGCTCCCTTCCTTCCCACTGGCCTCCTTGCTGTTCTGTGGTTCTTTCACACACCAGGTAAGCAGCCACCCCTCAGCCTTCGCACATACCGATCCCTGACTCGAATATTGTTCCCCCAGCCAGATGTCTACACAGTGCTTCCTCATCTTCAGGTCTACACTCAGTGGTTGCTTCAGTGAGGCCCTCCCTTGGACGAGGCTGAGATTTGGGCCTCTTTTTTTCATTGCCCTAGCTCCAGTGCCTAAGACAGAGCCTGCCCATTCTAGGTGCTTCATAACTTTTGACTGAACTGAATGGCTCAGTGAGGGAATGAATACAGGATGGGGCAAAAGTAGGATTATAGATCATGTGGAAAATAATACAGTAATTAATAAGTAATGATACAAGGATAAACTTTTGTTTTGCATACTCACAACTGTAAACCTGCTTTTGCCCCACCCTGTAATAGGCAAGGTTGGGCTCCTCCTTGGCCAGGGCTCCGATGGAGGTTTGGTGAGCTAGAATATGATTTCTTCTTTCCCCTTTCAGGCCAAAGCCCGGCAGGGCTGGCTCGTGGCTGGCACCGTGGGCTGCTCTGGGCCTGAGATTTCCCGGTCCTCTGAGATCCCCATCACTAGTTGCTTGGAGTTCCTCTGGGACCAGCCTACTCTCCTAGTGCTGGGTAGGTAGATGTTCCTGCTTTTCTGTGCTCAGACGTTCATTTCCTGAGTGCCTGCCTGTCTAGCTGTGGCGTCCCTAATCCTCTGCCCCCATGCTCTGTAGGGAACGAGGGCTCCGGCCTGTCCCCGAAGGTGCAGGCCTCCTGCCAGCTCCTCCTCACCATCCTGCCCGGCCGGCAGCTGCCTCCTGGACTGGAGTCCTTGAATGTCTCCGTGGCTGCAGGTGAGTTTACTCTCCCTTCTCTTTCTCTGATCACACGTGTTGCTGATTCATCCTGAACAAGTGTCTCAGTCATTCTGCATCTCCATTGCTTTCTGTGCCAAAGGTGGAAAGTACATTCTTTTGAGGATGAAATGATGGAATGCCTGGCACATGGTCCTTCCTCTCCTCGCTTCTCTTCCCTATGTCGTTCTTTCTGCCTTTGCAGGAATTTTTCTTCACTCCATTTGCAGCCAGAGGAAGGGTTTCCCTGAAGAGAGGAAGAGAGCGCAACATCTCCAAGATCCCCGAGAACTCTCAGCCATGGCTCAAGGGCCCAGATTGCCTCAGCACCCGGGACTGTCCTCAGGATGAGAAAAAGAGAGGCTAGACGGGGCTGACTTGTACTGTTCGAGATGTGTGTGCTGGATGGCAGGGGATAGGTTGCCCATATATCCACACGTTCCAATATGCTGGACCCTCCTGCCTGAGTGTGCAGGCTCTGCCTATTAGTCACTGTCTTGGGAAGCAGTGAGCTTTGCCATGGAGACCAGAGGAAGTCGGCCTCCTGTTTTGAGTTTGGACTTATAGTTGGAGATGGTAGCCTGTTAATTTCTAGGATGTGCTAGTTCAGAGATTCTGTCCGTTTCCTCCCAGGTCCTGCCTCCATCCTCAAGGCCAGGTCCGGATGAAGCCGGGAGGAGGGACATCAAGGGGAAGTCTAAACATCAAAGGGGAATTGGGTAGCTCTGTCCAGGGATCCTGTTCCTCTTGAACCAGTGTAAGAATGTAGAGGGAGGCCCCGGGCTCTTTGTGGGCCAGAAAAGTGCAAATCCAGGCTCAAACCCTGCCCCACTGCGGGGTGTGGGGATATGTGGGGAGCCTTCAGCGCTTGGCTTCATCTTTAGGTGCCTCAGGGCTGTTTTGGGCTCCTCCCTCTCAGGGTTTTTGTGAGACTCAAATAAAACCTCACCTGATCTCCAGCAGGCACTCAACCGGTGGGCTATTCTGTTGATTCTTCCACTAGGTGGCAGCCTTGCCCTTTGGTCCACAGTCTCTTCAGGAAGCTCTTGTAGCTACCTGGGGAGATTGGCTGTGGCCCCCAAGAGGCAAGGGAAAAATTATTAAACACTTCCCACCCCACTGGTCCTCCAGTCCCCCTGACTGGTGAGTTATCAGTGAGTCCACCTACAGGGAAGGAATCAGTGAAACCTTTGCTTTGGGTGCATGTCTGAAAGCACACACCAGGCGACCTTTCACCTGTCCCTAACGTTCTTTAGAAAATGCTGGTTCCAGCCCTGGCTCCATGGCTTCCTACCTATGTGGCTTCTCAGTCTCCATACCTATAAAATGGGGATGGTGCCATTGACACCTCCTCCAACTGTCTCTTCCCCAGCAGAGAAGTTGTAAAATAAGATGAAAGCATGTCAGGAAGTGTTCTGTAAACTAAAGAACTGCACCCAGGACTAGCACAAAAAAAACCCTGCTGTGATGGTTCAGTTTATGCATCAACTTGACTGGGCCATGGTGCCCCGATATTTGGTCAGATATTCTGGGTGTGTCTTTGAGGATGATTTGGGGTGAGATTAACATTTAAATTGGTAGACTGAGTGAAGCAGATTGCCCTCCTCAATGTGGGTGGGCCTCATCCAATCAGTTGAAGGCCTAAAAAGAACAAAAAGCATGACTCTCCCATAGAGAATCCTTCCTGTCTTTTGGAACTGAAACATGGGTTCTTCTGGGGCCTCTAGCCTATTGGCCTTCAGGTGGGAATGACAGCATTGGCCTCCAGCATGCAGACTCCTCCTGCAGATTGTGGAATGCCAGCCTCCATAGTATGTATATGTGTGTGTGTCTATCTCCCAATGGTTCTGTTTCTCTGGAGAATCCAGACTAACAGACTTGATGAAAATAAACTCGGGTTTCCTGGAGTTCCTTCCATGTAGGGGCACAGAATGGAGTTTAGCTCTCTAGGACCAAACCCAGCATGGAAACTAGAATTTAGGGTTGGGGGTACTCAGGACCCAGAGCCCCCTCTCCTGCCCACAGACTCATCTGTGGTGTCTGGAAACCTATCTGACCTGCTTTGGGCATGTTACTCATCAGCTTCCTGGGTCCCTGTGCTCTGGGCCATCTAGAGGGGTCACTCTCCCGGGCTAACAGCCAGGCACAGGGGCTCCTCCCTGCCTCATTCCCTGGGCAGCAGGCTGACTGGCTTCTGGGGAGACAGGTTCACTTGAATCAGAGGGAACTGAGGCTGTAATTACCTGCCATGCACACACAGGTATGTATGTCTGTAGCTAATGTCATGCAAACCAGGCATCCTTAAGACAAAGAGGAAACACCTGAGGTCCTAAGGCCAAGAATGAGGTTGATTCTCCTTGGAGTGGCCTCTGGTGCCTGATGCAGACATTGTTCCCCAAGTGTGGTCAAGTTCACAGGAGCTGCAGTGGCTGCGACTGGGGTGTGAAGGAGCTGGGTGGGGTCCATCCCCTGTAAGGCAGGGTCAGGATGAAGCCAGGAGGAGGGAATGGTGGTAGAGAGCACGGCCCTGGCTGTTAAGCAGTCTCTGTGCCTTGCTGATGGTGTAAATGTGAACATGTCCCTTAGCTTTTCCAAGTCTTATTTTCCTCACCTATAAAATGGGGATAGCCATGCTGTCCACTTCCGAGGAGGGTGGTGCAGATTAAATGAGATGCATGTGAAGCCCTCAGCTGGTGCCGGGAGGGTGGCAGCTGCTCTCACAGCCAGGGGCAGGCCCAGAGGTCAGGGCACCACGCTCTGCTCTCCCAAGAACCCGGCCTCAATTTCCCCATAGGCTCTAGGGCCCCTTTCAGCGGCAACATGCAGTGATTTACCTCTGAGAACCGCTGGAGGGATTTGGAGAGAGGAGGGTTGAAATGACATTTGCAGGGTCCTCCTCTGGCGGGGCTCCAGCCAAGAGGGGAAGGTTCTCTGAAGGATTGGTGGCTGGCTTGATATTTCCAGGGCAGCTGAATTGTGGCCAGCACGCCTGCCATTTTTTTTGGCAGGAGGCTAAATTGCCAGTTTCCCCCCAAGGCTGGGGTCCTAAACTAGACACCCCCTCCCTCTCCTGCAGGGCCCGGCGTCAGGGGGGCCTCACAGTTTGTAAATGTAATCAACCTTGAGGTCTCGCCTTCCACAGGTGCAATTAGCAAGCCCATCTGCTAATCCCTGATTAATGATGTTTACAAACACGGGCTCCGCTCGGGACGCTCAGCCGCTCCCTCCCAGGCCAGGAGGCCGGGTCTTCCTAGCGCACCCCAAATGTACTCCCTCAGTCCTCCCAGCCAACCCCCTCTGCTCCCCCTTCCCAGGCCGCCGGCAGAGCTGGAGGCCCCTCCCTGGAGCCCCCGCCCCACTCATTGCACCCGGGGAAGGAAACGCAGGGAGCACACAGGGAGACTGCGAGGCGGCGGGAGGGCTAGGACCCTGCCCTTCCCTCTCAGTTCTGAACTTCCAGGACCGTGTGGGCTGGGCATGCTTTATTCACCCTGCCAGCTGCAGCCCGGGTGACACACACGCCTCCCTTTGTGGAGGTGTGTGCCCACCCCTAGGGTCCCCAGGGTTGGGCTCCTGGACCCACCCCCAGATGCGAACATTTGCACCCCACCTACCTTCCTGAGGACCTCGGTGGGTCCATGTTAGAGGCACAGGAGCACAAGCATTAACAGAGACTTGAGTTGGACAGTGCCAGGTCGAAATGTTAGCTCTGCCTCAGGCTGCTTAATCTGATTGAGCCTCAGTTTCTTCAACTGTAAAATGGAGATAAGAGCACTTAGCACAGTGCCTGGGACACAGTAGGTGCTCAATAAATGTGAGTTTTTTTATTGCTGTGAAAATGATGATGAAAGGAGGCATCTGAAGCTACAAAGATGCCCAAGGATTTCCCCTCCTCTCCACCCCACCCCCACCCCCTCTCTGGGGAGGAGGGCAGGTCCCAGCTCATTACTGGTGGGGCTGGGGTAGAGGTGTCAGATTGGAATCACTCCTGGGTCTGTTCGCAGCTTCCCTGTTTCATTAACACCTCCCTGCTTGGTCTTCAACTCATCCTGCTGGGGGAGGTGCTCCAGAAAGTTCTGACTACCTCCTTTCCAGCCCAGAGCTCAGTGCTCCTCCTAGGTTTGAGCTCAGAGTGCCCACAGAGAGGGTTTTATGTGGGGAGAAGTAGCCAGTGGCCAGGAGGATATCGCTGTCCCCTGTCCCCAGGGTTGGTCCTGGAAGCCTGGTCAGGTGGCATAACACCTGGGCTATGTCTTGCTTTCCCCTCCCCGGTCAACCTCACCCAGAGGTTCCAGACGCCTGTCCCCACTGCTTCCCAGCCTGGCTGCCTCCTCCCCTTCAAGTCAGCCTGACCAGCACGGTCAGCTCTAGCCCTGACCACCTCTTCCCAGCTGGATGACCAAAGCAAGTCGCTTGTCTAGGACACTCAGTTGCCTCTTTGGGGCTGGGGATGCCGCTACCTAAGCAGCATAGCACAGGGCCCGGTAACCTGTAAACCCGGCCATGGAGCTATTGTTGTCATTTTACAGACACAACTGCTCTCAATTATCTTTTTAAACCACAGAACCTTGTTTAACCAACAGGGGTCGGGGAGCAGGCCAGAGCCCCAGGACCGGTCGCAAGTTCAGAGAAGCAGGTAAGGGCGTGAGCTCTGCGTGTTAATTGTCCCAGTTTCTTCCCCAGTCTGGGAGAAGGAGCGGGGCTGGTCGCTGAATTAGGACCGTGAGGTTTTATACCTCGGGCTCTGCAGGGCTGCTTCTACGCGGGGTTCCCCTCCACGGCGCTCCAGGAAGGGTTCTTATGGAAATGCCTTGTCCTGCGCCCGTCCCCGCCGAGGTGCCCTCTCTGTCACAGTATTCCATTTCAGAGGACACCCTTCACCAGCTGCCACGGGGCAGGGAGGAGGGGCTGGGCCCAGGCCCCTTCGCCCCACCTGGTTCAGCTGCCCAAACTCGCCTCCCTCTGCCTTCCCCCTCCACCTCTGCACCCCTCTTCCTCAGGCTCCCTGCTTTTTTGCTGAAGTTTGTAGCGTCAGAAGGGAGACTCCAGGAAAAGCGGCACCTTCTGTGGTTTATCTGCAACTCAAAAAAAATATCAATGGGCCAAACAATTTCCTTTAGAAAAAAGAAACCAAGGCAGAAATCAGCAGATGAGGGAGGTGGTCAGATGCTGGGCGGGGTCCCTTCTTGCAAGTAGCCTTCTGGCCCCCTGCCCCTTCACCTTCCCCTTGGCCCCCACGGGCCTCTGCAGGCACATATGCCCCATCCCCCTCTTTTAGACGATCAGGGTGTGAATTAGCTTGACTCATTTTATATTCCCAGGTCCCAGCACAGAGCCAGGCACATCCTGAGTGTTTAAAAAGGGTGAATGAACAGCACAGCGAATGGGCCCTGAGGTTGGAGACTAATTGCCTCCCCCTCCTCTTCACTGTAGTGGGCTGGAGGGGCGAATCTCTCAGCACATTTCCAGCTGGCCCTGACCTTCAGCTTTCCGAGGAGGCAGGACACAGATGATCCCCCAGCCACAGCTGCTCTTGATTCTCTGAAACAAAGGAGCTAATGGAGGGCTGAGAGGCTGCTCTGGAGAACCCATCGGCCCTCACCCTGCTGAGGCCCATCTGCATCCAGGCCTTGCACAGATGCCCCTCCTACAGATGGGGGTACTAGCCACAGGCCAGGCACGGCAAGGGGCTGGATCTTGTTTAAATAGGAGCCCTGGGACTGACACACACAGTCTCACTGTGGTGGGTGTGAGTCCCAGAAGCTGTGTGTTTGGAGCAGGGTGCTGCTGCTGGTACTAACATTTATTATGACTTATCATGTGCTAATAGTTGTACATGGCTCATCTCATATAATTCTTACGATACTTTGGGGTAGGCACTGTTATTACCGTTGGCTTAGGGATAGGAATCAGAGGCTAAGAGGGGTTGAGTAACTTGTCCAAGGTCATGCTGTGGCAATCGGAAGGGTTTGGGAGGGAGGGAGGAGAGAGAGAGGGTGGGGAGCTGGGTTTGGAGGAAGGGAACCTCTAGTCCAGGAACTGGGAGACCTGCTGAAGAGGCCCAGCCACATCTGCACCCCCACCCATCTCCCTACTCCTCTCCTGAAGCATCTAGGTAAGCTCTTAGTGGGCATCCCAGGGGGGCACCTCTACCTGCTCCCCACTCAGCTGTGGGTGGTGTGCCCAGGTTGGGAGGCCAGGGTGACAGCTCAGGGCTGCTGTGGGATCCAGCAAAGGGCCTTACCTCTCAGAACACCAGACTGGGTTTAAATCCTGGCTCTGTTCCCACGTCTAAAGTCTTAGGCCTTGGTCAAGTTTTTTAACCTCTGAGCTTAGTTTCTTTCTTGTAAAATGGTGCCCAAACCCTCTTCTTCCCAGAACTGTGCCTGCCTCTTCCTTCTGTCTTCCTCAGGGGCCTCCTCTGTGTCTGCTGCCCCTTTGCCCTTCCTACTCGGGCCCGGTGCCTCCTCTCCCTCTCTATTCTGCCTCTGTTTTCTGTTTATCTCTGTCCTGCCTGCCTGCTGTGGCCGGGTCACTGGGGGCTCCCTGTTGCTGCTCCCTTTCTGGGGCTGTGTCCCCACACCCTGTTCTGTCCCTCACCTTGCCTCTCCCCTGGCTCCTGATACCCCAGGGGCTGATCGATGGCAGCCGCTGGTTATCGATTGCGGTGGGCATTCAAGTGTGGCTGCCGGAGGCCGATATTGACGGACAGAATTGGTGCCCAGGCCAGATGCAGTGGCAGTTGGGGAGCCTGGGGCTGCTGCTGGGGAAGTGGGCTCCCCTCTCTTCTGCCAGGACCTGAGAGTGGACACTGCTACAGATGAAAGTGGGGTGGGCCAGAGGGCCTCTGAGGACAGAAGGCCAAGGCTTAGTTCATGCTGTCATTTAACAAGTATTTATTTAGCACCTACTATATGCCAGCAGTGAACAAGTTACAAAAATCAATGAGAAAATGCTCACGGCAACCTTGTGAGTCAGACTCTGTCATTTCCTTGTTGTAGAGCTGGGGAGACTGAGGCTTGGAGACATTTGCCCCAAGTCTGTAGAGTTGGGACTCAAACCCAATTCTGTCTGACTCCAAAATCATTGCTTTTTCCTTCTTATTGGTTGCTGTCAACCATTTTTAAGTACAGTGCAGTGGCAGATCTGCAGGTCTTTTTCATCTTACAAACCTGAAACTCTAGACCCACTGAGCAACAACTCCCCATTCCTCTCCTGGAGCCCCTGACAACCACCATAGCCTCACCAGGGAAACAGAGGGGCGCGAGGCTGGCAGTCAGCGTGGAGGGGGAGAGGGCTGGGGGAGCTGCCTGCTGGAGTGCCCAGCCTGCTCTGGCTCTTCAGCGTGGCAAGACTCTGGATATGCCACTGATTTCTGGGGAGTGAGCAATTCCCTATCTTGCTGCCTCCACCTCCTACA